GCAGCTCGTCTGAGCTTCCTAAAAGGGGAAGGGAGGTCCTAAAGGCATCAGTAGATGTTACTGCTTTAGTTTTGTTAGAGACATAGCTATTTCAAACATAGAAATCGATACACTCAGTTCATGCTTTCATTAGGTCCAAGAGGGAGTACATTCATTGAAATCTCATCACTTACGAGGACAGTAAGAGCGCTGTTTATCTTTGCGTTGTGGTTTGAATTATGGGTAGAATTTTCAAAGACCCAGAATGACATGGGAAAATAAATACTATTGAAAGTCAGTGGCACTTGCTTTACAAAGACTTCTTGATAGTTCTGGAGCTCTGGAAGTTAGGATTTTTGCTGGAGCAGAAATAAGACTGCCATCAAAGTTTTGGTTTTTAGGGGGAGCTGACAAAACAGTATCTTTGGCAGAGAATTATTTTAGCCAAGTTTCTTGTGAGAGCAAAGATTTTGTCATCATGCTGTACATTTCTCTCTGCTCCTTTTTTTTTTTTTATCCTAACTTAGTACAAATTCTGAATATTGGATGAATTTTGGCCAAATTTGACCGATAGGTCTTTCAAAAGTCCTCAAACTAGATAGTGTGAGTATGTGTATACAGTCACTGAAGTGAATATTTGGGCCTACAAGCAAGTGAGAAGCAGTGACTGATCACAGATGTCACTTTCCAACAAGCAAATAGTTCAGAGTGGCAAGAGACATGGGAGCATATGAGGGTAGTTGCAAGAGTTGTGCAAGAGAGGAGAGGGAAGAATGCAGGAAAAAAGCCTGGGGAGTGCTGGGTTGAGAAAAGCAGTAGAAGACACATTGGCATGTTTGAAAACGTTTTGGTTTATTCCCGCTTGAAGCTATCAAGAATCAGCCTCTTGGGATGACAAATGGGAGAACACTACCCATAGAGCATATAAAACCTGGGGCGGGGGGGAGGACTGTATTTTCAGTTTCCTTAAAACTGAATTGCACAAAATTTATTCAATAAATAAATGCCTGCCTTAAAACGTTTCATTAGATAAAGGATGATTAAAAAACTTAGTAAGTAGAACACTAGTGAGAAAGGAATAAGAAACCAAGTTCAAAACCTTTGTATTAAAAATGTACAAAGCAAAATCTTAGAGAAAAAACACTTAGCTGTACAAATTATGTTTTACATTGACTACTTTAAAAGAAAAATAAGATTCTTTATCTCATTTTAATTCCATTTTATAATTCAACTGTGGCATAAAGTCCTTGCTAGGTGACTCTCAGTGTTTGGAAAAGACAGTTGTAGGAGATGTAGTCTGCAGCACAGAACAGATAAAAGCATACCTTTTCTTTCTTCTGAACTAGTTGACAATTCATAAATAGCATAATGCACTATAATTTTGCATAGTTTCCATTTTTTATTTTGTCTGTCTTGCAAAGATTGATGGACCATGAACCTGCTGTCTCTGCCGTATGTAACAGTAGCCAGCAAGACAATGAGGAGCCTTGTGAGAATTCAGCACAGTCCCTCTCACCATATCCTATGCTAATCTAACAGCATTCCTAGCACTCTGACATATCTTGTATGATAGAATTTAGAATTGTTCACTCAGGTTTCTTTCAGGCTATAGAGCCATGATTAGTCTGTGCAAATTGATATCAGCTTAAATAAGTCTATATTATAGAAACAGAAAAGCAATGAAGCTATTTGATTTTTATTTTAGTTTTTTCCGTTGTGTTTTCAGCAACACAAACTGAAATGAAATTGAAGTTCTCATTTACACGCAGGAATGTCTTTAGCACAGTGTTTATTGGCGTACTTTTAAGGACAACTTCTTGAAAGAGTACTTTGAAATTAAATAATGAATTTTATAATAATAGGAGAATGAATAAAGTGCTCAAACAGGTTTTCAGTTAACATTAACTAATAGTATTGATTGAAATGACACTGACATTTTGCTGTGCTAAGTAATGATCACCCAACGAAAATACCTATCCAAATGCAGGTCTGAGCCAATGTTCAGATGGCTGGAAGTAAGGTAAAGTAAAATGACAAAATTCCAAAGGTTCGAGCCAAACCAACATTTTGCTGGCTTCAAAGAAGTTGATATGAAAGGTATAAATAGCAAAAGTTTCTAAATGATCTTTAAATTAAGAGGACAAAGATTAAATTTGAAAAGCAGACAGGCAGTAAGGTTATGCCAAATCATCAAAAATTATATAAATCCTGTGAGCTATAAAGTAAGTGATTAAGGCACATGGGATACTGCAGGGAAGCAAAGTTAACACACACAGCTCATTTCAGTATATAGAAAGTAATCAGTGGGACTCTTGGAAATTGAAACTGTATTACTGCTCTATTAGTGATGAACATATCCAAAAAATGGTGATAAATAAGAACTAGGTGGTGCATGGGTCATCTAAATTAAAAAGCAATTTCTTTACAGTCAGTGATTTTCCTCCAGAGAATGTTGTTATGATAGAAGAGTGAGTGTTATCAATATTGCAGTACTTTATGACGATTACAAAAACACTTGATCTTTTGATTACTCAGTGAAGGAAAAATGGATTAAGTTGCAGAACTTTGGAGGACAATTATTTAGGTTAATCCAAACTGAGAAATAGTACCTGGAATCGTATGAAAGTTAAACAAGCTATAAATAGAATTAGAGAGGCAAATTTTGGTGACTGTAAAAGCAAAATAAATCACATTGGCAGAAGTAGCTTGAAGTTTGCTGAAATGTAAATGGCCTGTAACAACCCTAGACGTATCTTCCAACCTAGGTAATTCTATGATTCTGTGATCAAATGTCAAAGTTGGACCTGTACTGAGCATGGAATTGGACCTGACATGATGATAGTGTGATTTGAACTACCAACATGAGAAAAAGATATAATCATTAGTATGGATTATTACCCTTTATGTCTTATCTGTTATTTAACAAAAGACACCTGGGAAGTGGAAGAACTGAAGTATTTTAAATTTTAGAGAGTACATAGCTAAAAACTGAAGAAATGTGTAGATAAAAAGATAATTCTGTTACTTTAACCCAATGTCACTGTCTTCAGTTGAACAGCTACAATTCATATCAATCAAGAATGTGACTTAATGTTTTTGTAATGTGTATGCTTACTTATCAATCTGACTGAGTTTTGGTTATCTACTGTGTCATTGATTTTGATCGCAGCTTATTTCTGAGAAAACTAAAACAATATCCTGCTATCCAAAATTTCCAGGAAAGTTTTTTAAACTATGCCTGTTGAAAACAGGACAAGATCTTTGCCTATTAAGAATCTTTCAATGAACACCCAAAAAAAAAAAAAAATGATCAGTAGGATAAGCAAGCTGTCACTTGCCTATATGGCTGTTGTAGAGTTATTTACTCCTTCAGGTTACTGCCACTGTTTTTGTCCAGGATAAAAGAAACAGTTGCAGTAAATTTTCCTTTTACTACATCTGCTATCTCATACTTTTTAAAGTGAGTGCAGACTAATAGGAATTTTTTTCTTCATTTTTCAGAATGACAATAAAGGTAATAAAAACTAGAAAGTTGTCAAAAAGTTTCCTAGAGTTGTTCACACATCTGTGTGTTTGATTACACAGAGGTACTAATCAGTGATGTCAAATGGCTGTGCTTTATCAGAAGTTTGTATGTTTGGATTAAGTAGACTTATGCACCCAGCTCACTTCTAATTTTATGTAAATTGTTAACAAACTAGAACATTGTTGAAAATAGTGATAGCATATTGAATGTTTGATTTAAATGAAAAAAAAAATTACATGCATTGTCTCATTCTGGCAATATATAACTTAATCATGCAATTGTCATATTTCTAGGACTTTGTTACAAATATACTGAACTTATTTTTAGCACATATGAAAGAAACCTTAGGGATTCTTAACTGTTTTTAAAATAAGACTTGTTATCGTTTCACTGAATTGATTTTTTCAGCCGTTAGGTTTACTTGGTCATCAACAGTTATGAGCATTTGATTTGCTTATATTTAAAGCAGTTTTCTTTCCATCCTGGTGAGCACTAAACAGAGAACTAGCCATCTTTGCCAGTAAACACTGCAGACAATGAAAATATCCTTTTGGAGGAAATGAGCACACTCGAAATCTTATCTTACATGTCCAATGTTTCAAAAATAGTAATGCTTTGTATTATGTTGTCATGTATTATAATGTATTTCAGTGTATGAAAATAGCTTTGAATTATCAGTTATGTAGACTCTTACGTTCATGTAATTTGTAAAATCTCTTAAAAAACATATAGTGGCTATTGAGCTTTGAATGAAAGTCCCATCTAAAACATCTGTATATTCCACTTCAGTTAGTATTTAAAAGATAACAAATTCTTTCATGTATGTAAATCACATGCTTGTATAATGCTTGGCTGTTTTCCTTGTTTTCCTTTTCAATTTAATTTGCTGCTTATCTTCATAGTTTAAGTTCTTCAAGACAGGAATTGTCTCTCTGTCTTTCCTCCCTTTTTGTCAGCAGAGTAGCTAATTCAGTGGTTCTAATGATGTCTGAAATGCTGAGATTTACTGCAATAAAATGTATTTAAAAGAGCAGCAGTGCTATATAGTTATTTTTTTAACAATTTCTTATGCCTTAAAATATTTCTTTGTTTATTTTTTAAACAAATAACTGAATTTTAAGCATTTTAGATAACAAGTCTGTCCAAGTAAGCATTAGCACACAGTAATGGTGTAGTTGTGTATAAAAAGGTATGAATATATAAACAGGAACACTTTTTGTATTTTATTAACTATCAGCTGATAAGAATTCAAGGATCTTGAACTTTGTTCTACTGGAGTGGATTGATAGATACAGTTCATACATAAATCTAGTCTAAAACAATGATTTTTATTAATTTTTTTAATCCTATTTTGAAAAAGTAGAGGAAGGGTTAGGTAGTCTTTTGGAAGTTGAAGATACAGTTTAGCTGCTACATTTGGGATGTTACTTGCCAGTAGTAAAGCTTATTAATAAAGTAAACTACTTGACTCATCCTAGTATGTATTTTAAAACAGGTGAGGCTAATGATAAGGATGTTCAGGTGGTGGAACTTCCCATTGTTGACAGCTTACACCCACGGCCACCTTATTTACCGTTGGCTATCCCCGAAGACCTGGCTGATAGGCTAATTCGTGTACATGGGGATCCTGCAGTGTGGTGGGTCTCGCAGTTTGTGAAATACTTGATTCGTCCACAGCCTTGGTTAGAAAAAGAAATAGAGGAAGCCACAAGGAAACTTGGTTTCAAACATCCAGTGATCGGGTGGGTATTTAGTTTTCTTTTTAACTGTCTGTGCTTTAATATGTGTATATAGTGCTTCCTGTTCAGGACAAACTGTTTTATGATGGTTATCCAAGAGCCTGAAGCATTTTGTGGGGAGAGAGAGTGCTTTCTAGATGAAACTATTATTTTTTAACGGTGCATAATACAAGTTGATTAATTCTTCAGCTTACTTGCCTACCTGTAGTTGGACTGAATATAAAAGGCAGCTCAATAGAAGGTTATTTTTATATGTCCTTCTATATCTAGTAATTTAATACAGAATTTCATTCATGTAATTGCCTTATAGCTTGTATTCCAGACACTTTTCTGTCTGGGTCTTCTTTTCAAGTGCCTATAGCCTTTACATTTGAGGAAAAAAGGCTAAGCCTACATTTTACATGCTACAGTCCGCAACTAATTTTATTGTTGACTGCATCTGAACATGGTATGTGCCTTTCCCTTTCCTGCTGATGTTTCCACTATTGTTGTTTCTTAGCAGTAACTATGAATTGGAAAGGTCTGTATGGGGAGAAGGAAGGAAAGCACTTATGGGCAATAAAGAGCACCTTGTGGAAGAAAGGTTTTACTGTCATGTAAACATGAAGAATTTTACTGCTGCTGTAGTAGAGTCTGCAAATATTGCTTCCTTTGCCAGAATTTTCCTTCAGTCTTTCTTTTTGTAGTACACAATAGGTCTGTCCAAATGTTAGTTGGCTTTTGACCATTGAGTCAGTAGGCCACTTCACCACTGGCGGACCTGAATACTTGTTAGGTTTCAAGCAGATGGGGAAGATGCATTTCTGACTACCTTCATTCAAATCCTGCATTGTAGTTGGTGTCCCAATGTATCCATGATGCAAATATTCCTATTTTGCTTTTGAACTGTATTGATCAAGCATTATCTAACTACACCAGGTAACTTAACCTTCTGCACAAAAGGAATACCTTGTATGCTATAATTAAATCTCCTTAATTCTTTTCTTTCAGTTACCCTTTGCTTTCCTTGCAAGATTATTATATTTATTTCAAGAACAAACTGACAGCTAACTTCATGTTATCAGTGTGTCTTGATGGACATCAATGAGTTTTAATCATTCCTTGTTTTATGAGATTCAATTTCATACGCATTCTAAAAGCACAGGCATGAAATTTAAAGTTAAAATTTCAGTTGCTAAAGTATGTATTGTATTTATAAATTGAATTCCTAGTTTCTGCCTTTTTCCAGTGTTCATGTCCGAAGGACAGACAAAGTAGGAACAGAGGCAGCATTTCATCCTATTGAAGAATATATGGTACATGTTGAAGAGCGATTTGAACTTCTTGCTCGCAGAATGCACGTTGATAAAAAAAGAGTGTATTTGGCTACAGATGACCCTTCATTGTTGCAAGAGGCAAAATCCAAGTAAGATGAGTTATGTTTATATTACAGTTTATTCCTTCTGCTTAGCTTTACAATTTCTGACTATTGTGCACACAAATCAGTATGATTTTCTTTGTCATAATTTATACAGTTTAGATTGCATTTTAGCTTCCAGTGATTTTGATTTTTCTCTCAGACATTCTTGTTTTTTTCCCAAGTATGCTTTTCGAAGTTTAATGTTAAAAAATCTGGAAGAGTTGAGCAAGATACCTTTGACTATTTAAAAACAAACCAATGCTGTAAAAGGGAAGTAAAAATATAAATAATAAACACACCAAACTTCTTCTAGAACATATATATTAAAAAGAAACTATTCAGAAATACTGCAAAAACTAGTTAATGTATTGTTTCACCTGTCTGAACAATACCTTTCTGTGAATAGTTGCCAGAGAAATGTTCAGAAATTGGTTGAAAAACATCTGATGACTCTTTCAGAAAGATTTCTATATTGACAACTTAAAGACTTTCACCCTACATGTTGAATAATTTTAAAGTTTGTCCTTGAATATATGTGGGATTCTCAATCTGTAACATTGTCTCTGTCCCTTTTTTGCTCTTTGTCCTCTTCTAGCTCTCCAGAACATGGGTGCAACAACCTACCCTAGCTATAGGATATTCCAGCCTGTTTTAGAAAATACAATTGTGTTCAAACCTGGAAAGGCACAGCATGCATTTATTCCTAACATGGCCTGTATTTTCCTGTAAAAACTCAATCTTAAGTTGAATGTTTTGCAAGGTGTCACTAAGATGGCAAAACCTTCTGTTTCGTAAAAGAAAGCAGATGCACATGGGAGGATAACATTAAAATAACAGATTTAACTGTATCTTTCTTGGGTTATGGTGTTCATGGTATATGAACAATTTCACAAATGTTTATTGCCATGACTATGGAAAGTTGGATAGTATTTCATATGCTTTGAATTTAAGCATATTCATTATGAAGTACAAGTTAGCATGTTTTCCTTTTGAGTACTATTTATTTATTTGTCTACTGAATAGCGCCTACTTCTGTTTCCAAAATTTTATCTCCCTTGAGCAGAAGAATACTTTTTTTTTCATTTAAGCAAGGAAATTAATACGTTTTAAAATCAAGGTAACTAAAAAATATCAAATTTTTGAACTATGTTATTCATGGTAGACATGCTTGGAAAAATATGTAAGATAACATACTAGATTACAAACCTCCTTTGGCATATACAAGGTAAGCAGAAAATGTTGTTTTGTAGTAGAGGAATTTTCTACAGCATTGCAAACCTGTGTATTTCAATTGTGCTATTTCTGTAATTTTTTTCATATCTATAAAGGGCTGCTATTTAAAATTATGGAGTTTTGGAAAAAAACTAAATGAACATACACAACTCCAGATTATGGCAATCTAATCCTTCCTTTTTTGTATATGTAGAGACAAGAACAGTAGCAGAAACAATTATGGTAACATAACATTTAAAGTGCAAATCTGAACAATGAGAAGACAGGTAATACAAAATTGAGGTTATAATATTTAATTCATTACATTGTTCTACATAACTTTAATTACTGTTTGTATCATAACATCATTCAATATTGCTGTACCAATCTTAGTTATGCATTTTTTTCTTTGTGTTCTATTTTCAATTCTTAGTGCTGTATGCTTTAGCTTTGTGAATAACAATGAGATGCACTACCTATGTAAACGTATGTCCTGGTTTCAGCCAGGATAGAGCTGTTTTTCTTCACAGAAGCTAGTGTGAGACTGTGTTTTGGATTTGGGATGAGAAACTGTTGATAATGTGCTGATGTTTTGGGTTGTTGCTGAGCAGTCAAGGACAGTCCAGCTTCTTGTGCTGGCCTGCCAGCGAGCAGGCTGGGGGTGCACGGGGAGCTGGGAGGGGACACAGCCGGGACAGCTGACCCAGACTGGCCAAAGAGATATTCCCTACCATACGACGTCATGCCCAGTACATAAACTGGAGTTGGCTTGGGGGTGGAAATCGCTGCTTGGGGACGGGCTGTCGATCACGGGGTGGTGAGCAATTGCTGTATTGGGCATCACTTGTTCTTGTACATTCCTTTGTTGGTATTATCATTGTTGTTCCCTTCTTTCTTTCTGTCCTATTAAACCGTGTTTTATCTCAACCCACGAGTTTTTTTTTCCCAATTCTCTCCCCCATCCCGCTGCGGGAGGGGGAGTGAGCGAGTGGCTGCGTGGTGCTTAGTTGCCAGCTGGGGCTAAACCACGACAACGTATCATCCCAAGTTTTCAATAGCAACAAAAACTAGTAGTAGAATTGTGACTTGCTCAGTAAAACAATACTGAGTTTTATTAAGCATTGCAGTTTCTGTGTTAGTTCAAGGTCCATTCCAAATCACACTTTTATTGAAATACAAGCTCATTAGTACAGCATCCATTTTATATGTTTTCTTAATAAAAGTCATAGAATCTGTAAGTAGTGAACGATTTTTGATGTGTTGCTGCTGAGTTTTCAGGTCATAGTTATACTGAAACATCATTTCCCAAGTAGCTTGCACCCTACTGTTTCTTGTAATGGAGTAGAAGACATTTGAAACTTCCTGTCATTTCATAGAAGGCAGGATGCAATTTGACGTTTCAGCATTTCGGGGCATCTGAAGGCAGGTTAAGATCAGGTTTTGGGAATAAAGAATCTTTTCTTCCTCTTCTTGTGAAGAAAACAAATCAGTTTACGCTTCTGACAAAAGAGTTCTAGTCACATTGAACTACTGAGCTTTGACAGAAACAGCTTGTCACATTGTACTGCAGTAGGTTATGTTGCATTCATAATTGGGTGCGGTAATATTAGTAAGTACTAGATATTATATCTCTCTTTACATGAGAATGATGGGCTGTCAAACAATGTTGGCATTTAAATAATGAAAATTTAGCCAACATTCACATGAATAGGCGTGTTGTTTCTATTAAGAGAAGTATTTCAAACTATTCATAATGATGAAAACAGAAGTGTTTTGACTTAAGTTTCAGAGATTTCCCTTGCAGTCAGATATCTCCTAACTGCAAGTACAGTAGTAAAGACAGTTGAGTTAGTACTGTAAGTTTGTAGAGTGATTTTGTTTGGTTTATTTCCCAAAAGAAAAAAAAAGTGAAATATCTTCAGAATTAGGATGATATAGAAAAACATGATTAGAAAAGAGCATGGTTGAGAGTTCAACAGCTGTAATGGTTATGGGATTATAGCACTTGACAAATTCTTGTAAGCAGTGGTTACGGTATTTGTATTATCTAAGTTGTATGTTAGGAATGGTGTAAGTTGCTTGTTCTTTGGCTGATTTAATAGTTTTCAAATACAAGCTTTTGAATTACTAGTGTATGTATATCTAGTCTATAACACTATTTACAGCATCTTCTCTCGTTAAGGTAGAGTATTCAAAATAATGCAGCTGAACATGCATATAAATTCTTAGGAACCGTATTTCATACATTTCTGTTTTATATATGATCTCCTTAGGTCTATGTCTCATGTACATGAGCACTAAAATTCAACAAGTTACATTCTTCTTTTCAGGATGTTTACCTGTAAAGTCATCTGTATTTTGCTTTTTCATTTTTTTGCAGTAATTTGCCTCTCTCGTGAGGTTTTTTTTTTCAACATTTATGAAAGCTTTTTTCCATCGTATTTCACTGTTTATTTATTTCCACTATAGCAAGTTAATGTCTTTTCTGCCCGTGTAGTATCTGTAGTTTAGCTGTTGCAACCCTCCCTGCCCCCAAGTCATAGTGTGCCTGGTATATGCACTGAATTCAGCAGTGCTTCAAAGTTCTTGAGTCTGATGAACAGCTCATACATTTTCCAATTCTTTTTAGAGCAAGACCTGAACAAACACGTTATTTCTTACTCCATCTGTTTACACACATGCTCACACTCTAAAACTTGCGTTGCCTTTTCTGGACACTTCCCCAGTCCTAACAAATTGAGAACAGGAGCCTGGGACTTGTCTTGGTTTGCACCTGCTGCATAGCGTAGTGATAAGCTATAGTTACACAACTAATTCATCAGCTTCTGAAACAAATTGGAACTTGAAATAGTCTCATAACTGTGCTTGGTTTGTATGCTTATCTGAGGCTGGTAGGTGCAGGAAGAAAAGATTTTAAACTATCTCTTCCCCACCTTCTTCTGATTTCTTCTTTTCCCTTTTTCCTAAAGGGGAAAAAAAAAAAATCCTTCCTGACCTGTATATAGGTTTCAAGAATCTGTTAGGTAGCTTTAGAAGAATTAGATATTATTTTTAGATATGTGGAGGAGATGTACTACATATGTGTAGTTCTATACAAAGAAAACAGTATTATGCCATTTTCCATTCTTTGGTTTTATCTTCACAGTCTGGTCCTTTCCTGTTATAGAGAAGAGAATGTCTGGGTAATTTCTTTGGAAAGCTAGAATGGATCCTACAAAGTACTGTATTTAGGTGATTCTGTCAGTAAGAATATGACATATTATTTATTATTCATTTACCATGCATCCAGGTATCCTGGTAATAGGATAGTGCCTGAGTTCTGCTTAAAAAGAAAAAAAAAAAAATCCCCAAAAGCTTACAATGTAAGGTTTGCATAAATCATAATATAAATACAGATGGAAAAGGGAACAGAAGGAAGCAAGAGCTAACTATAGAGCTTTAGAAGTTTCATTTTCTTTATTCTTTGTAGTCATTGTGGTAAGACTAGCTTTAAATAGAATGTAAAGGTGAGTGGGAAGGAGAGTTAAACCTTACCTGATGCAGGAAGTCAGTGGGACACATATGGCTAAGCTTGAGAGAAGTATAGGTTTGGTGGTTTGCTACGTTTTCCTTTATGCTCTGCTTTTAGCCTGTGCTGGAGACAGAAGTGGTGGACTAGAAGATTCTTTGGTCACATTGAGTATGGCTGCTGTTATACTCCCATTTTTGGGTGCTTAAAAGAAACCCCTTTCCCCAAGCATGAATACAGAATTGTGTGTGTATGTGTCAACGTAGAAATGCTTGTTTGAAAACGTAAACATGTGAGCAGATAATTGCTAAGCTTGGATCACTGGTTTGAAGAAATGGGTTCTGAAACTGTTGGTTAGGTGAATTTGGGTCAACTTTACAAAATGGAATTGAAGACCAGATTTAAAAGCATCTCAAAGACTGTTTCCAGATAAAAGGGAGGAAGGAGAATGTTTTAAATGTATGCATAAGAAGATGTGTAAATAATTCTGACTTTTTTTTTTTAAACCAGATCCAATGTGGCACTTTTTTTGGTGTGTTTCGTTTGTTAAGTTATTAGACTGATCTTTTGCTAGGAAGAAATCAGATTCTTCAAGAAATGTTCTTTTATTCTGTTGTTCTTTTTCCACTCAGCATGTGGATTCTGATTTTTGAAATCTGAAGGAAGTGATTAATTTTAGCAGTATTCCTGATGCCAAAAACTTGCAAAGGGGTGTGCAAATATCTTTACTATGTTCAGTGTCCCTAGAAATTATGTCTTCTGTTAAACATTCTTCATCTTGCTCCCCTGAGAGTTGTGTCACTGAAATTAGACTGATGCCCATCTCTGTTCCTCAGCTAGTTTTCACAGTTGAGTATGACAAATTTCCATTTGGTCTGTACTTTTTTCTTTAAAAAAAATTAATAATATGATTCATGCAATGGAAACAGAAATAGAATGTATCACAAATATTGTCTTGTCATCTGTAATATTTTGAGAGCTGGTTAACTATTGACAAAAAATGTTAGACGAGAAGATAAAGAATACTGTCATTGGGATCATGATGGAGTTCATTTTGAAAAAATTATTCTTGGATCCATATGGTAATTTCTCAGAAGAGATCTTATCAGTTATTCTGAATGAATAGTATTTCCATCTTCTCTTTCCTTTTTTTTTATTGATTGTTTTGTCTTGTTTTTAATGTAACATGAACCTCCCCTGACATTCATGATCAATGCACCCTTTGAAGTTGTCTCTGGGAAATTTGTCATACATACGTTATTTGTTTGCTAGAGCAGGTGTTTTTCTTGGGAACATAAAATTCTATTAAAATCACTATGAAGATAAATTAAAATTCTTTCTCAAATATGGAAGTTTTGCATACAGCTTTTTGATTCCCTCTTGAGGTAAATTTTGTGATTTGGTGGTCACGGCTAGTGAATGTTAGATGGAAAAAAGCCTACTATATTTGCCCATTTCACTTCTGAAAATGATTTTCCCATACTTTTAATGTTAAAATGGAATAAATCAAGCATATTCTTACAAGAGGTTGTCAAAATCATGTCTACCATGGGTCCAGAGTGTATGCACAATGCTGCATTGTTTTATAGAAATGTATGCTAACTTCAGTAACTTTCCAAGAACTCATGAGTATAAACCTTATTTTGAGCAATGTTCAGCACAGGACTGTCCGGCTTTGAAGCATCTAGTTACAGGTCTAGGTTATTGTTGCTCTAGCATTATGGCCTGCTCTATATTCTGTTTTTCTTTATTAAACAGTATGAGAATGTTTAATTGTTACAAATGTAATATTAGCTGCATTACTGTCTTATGTAATATATTGCTTTATGATTGCTATGAAGTTGTAAATTTGAAATACAGCTTTTATTTAAATTATTTTGTAATTGGCTCTGTACTTGAAATTTTGTAATTGGCAGGTCAGTTGCATGAGTTGCACTTCATGATTGAAATATAATTATTATGTAACAGCAATGTAACTATCATCTTTGTTACATCTACCTGGAATTTTTCATATAAAACTTATTAGCTGACTGAAAATTTAATTAATTTGTGCTACTTTTCACAGTTTATTTCATATTTCAGTTCCCCGATAAAGGTCTCCAAATGTTTCAAGAAAGACCATTCTTTTTCAACGTTTTTAAAAAGGATTCTTTTTCTTTCAAACTTGTTATATTTTAAGAACTTCTAATTTAAAAAAATAATATAAACTAAGGTTTTATATTTCAAATAAAGGTATTTTCACTAAAGTATTACTATTTTGTTTATGATATATCAAGAAAGGTGTATTGACATGAAATTTTACATTTCTTTTATTTCCTTTTGACCAGTAAATTGCAAATTTTGTTTTCCACATGGCCTTAATAACTGTGGAGGACTTTTTTCGATTAGTTTAGATTCATTTATTTAATATGTCCCTTTTACAGGTGCCTGGTTTTTTTGCAGTGTCATAATCAGTATCTCATAGAGAGTATGGCAATAGACAAAATGTAGTCTAGTAAAGACACAATCCCATATTCTGTTTAGTAGTAGAGAAACCAAAGTGATCTAAGTATATTTTATCTAAAATCAGTAGTGTTAGCAGTATATGGCATATACTTCCTGATATTTTCTCACTTCTTTTACAGTGTCAGTTCTCAGACAGACTTACAGTGTCTTTTTATTTCATTTTCTTTTTTTCTGGATAAAGAGAGGGCATACTTGGAGGCAGCAGTAACATTCTAGAGTGTTCAGCAAGTTCTAATTCATTCCCTGTAAAGCAGAGACTCACTTAAAACAAATTAACAACCTTATCTTACAGCAAAGATGATGCTTCTTAAAAAAAAAAAAAAAAAAAAAAAGAGAGAGAGAATACGACTTTGCTGTTAACATTGTATTGTATTTTCACAGGTATCCAAATTATGAATTTATCAGTGATAACTCCATATCCTGGTCAGCAGGACTTCATAACCGATACACTGAAAACTCCCTAAGAGGTGTTATTCTGGATATTCACTTTTTGTCTCAGGCAGACTTCCTGGTCTGTACGTTTTCGTCCCAGGTAAACTCTCATACAAACACAATATGAAGTATATGTACCAGTCTTAAATCTTAGTTTTCTTCATGCTCATGTTATCTTATTCTCCATGCTCTCTCATGAAAATTTCAGGGAAGAATTGAAGGCTCAGTATGCTATGTGAACATTTAGAGGACTGTAAGCACTGGTTGATTACTTCTCTTCAATTGAAGTTACTGGCTTAATTAAGACATTTTAAATAAGCAAGAAATAATATTAAACACGTTTAAGAGTTCCTTGATTGCATAAAGTTAATGTATCCATGCAGCTTAGTTAAGGCATTTAAAATAAGTTAAAATAATTTTATAAATGTTTAACACTTCTTAATTTTGCATAAAGTTAATATATAACTTGTGTCCATCCATTTCTACACATCATTGCACTCTACTACAGTTCAGACATGTTTGCTGTTGCCTTAGTTGATTGTGGGAATGGAAAAGAATGAAGAAAGCAGACATTTAATTTCTGTTCAGTCTGTTACATTTCTAGCAATCCAGTGACAATGCAATGAATGTGAATTCTGACCACTGTAATAAGTAGATTTCTTCTTGCAGATAATTGTATGTTATGAGCTTCCTTTCTTGAGTGGTCTGATGAAGCAAGTGGGAGGCATTAGGAAACTGAATCATATAATTGTCATTGTTGGCATTTTCTTCTTTATTACATCATATTGTATGTTAAATTTATAAATCATTAAAAGCTGTTTTTAAAAAGCTGTTTTAAGATTAAAAAGATCAGAAAGCAGTATTCTGTGACTGATACGCTGATACACCTAATTCAAGTATGGCAAAATATGATTGATATCAAACAAAGTGAATGTTTTTTACCTTCTGTTGTCATATATGCTCTTAGGTGATGCTGCTGGTTAGGAAAGCATTCAACTATAGATGGTGATAGATTATGATAACACATGATTGTGCTGTTACATGGAAGTGGACCCTATATTAATTCTTATTTATGCTACCAAATCTGTATGAATACTGATACAAGCTGTAGAATATATATTTCATTAAAATACTGTTGTTGAAGAAATTAGGCCCATCAAGTGATGTGGAGTCAAGGGAAACAAGCTACCTTGGTGCTGTATTTCAGCAACATCACATTGAGAAGTATAGAAAAGCCACAGGATAGTTACACATATCATAACACAGTAGCAGAATTAAGATTGCATATTAAAACAAAGAGCACTTTTTGTCTCTTCAGTCTTCATTTAGATGAAATTGTAGCTCCCTCCACCTGATATTTTTCTTCATATTCTCATTTCCTTCCAGGACTTACTAATTTTTGTATTTTGCATTGTACATGTAAGTATACAGACTGCCAAAAAGTGAATCTATGAATACAAAATGGGAGGCTGGCTTTAACTCTAATTCTGCACATGGATTCTTTGCCCACTGCCCTCAACAGCTCACAGTTTAGTTACCCAGGTTTGGCACTACAAAGGAAGCAATTGCTGAGAGGAGACGTATGTTTTATGTCGGATATGCAGGACACTTACACTCACTAAAAAGCATTACCACTGAGAAGATTTAAAAACTTTTACAGAGTGTATGTATCCTCCTCCTGGGGTGGACGCACATGCAGAGAACAAAGCATCAAAAACAGTCACAGAAACTATAAAATAAATAACCTCTTACCAATGTATGGGTGATCAAATTTGTTTCTATATTATGGGGTATAACAAGTACTTTGAAATAATTAACTTCAGCCTGATCTTCTGAAAGCTTCTTCTCAAAAGTTATTTCAAAGATCAGATGGAGAGGGATAAAAGGAAATCCATTACATTTTTAAAGCAAATGCCTCACAAAGAAACGAGGAAAGTACAAATATGTCTAGTTTGACTGATCAAAGTTCTAGTCACCATATCTTCAGAGGGAGAAAAGTAAAATCAAGCTTTACTGTATTTACATAGAATGAAAATAATGAAAAAGCTCAAATGCTTCTTCATATTGAAGGAGTCTGCTGTATTGTTAGTTTATCAAGCTTACATAGAATCAGAGAAAGATACTGTAATGTAGGTTAGAAGTCAGAAAGGTCACAGTGGCCAAATCAGACACCTGACAGAGAAGAGCTTTCTAGCCAATTGTTGAAAAGAGCTTTTTTTAATATAGTGGCAGCCTTTTGTGTTTCTGGCAACTCTGACAGATACAACACGATTCTGATGTGGGAACCGGTTTTCAGTCTGAAGAAAATTCCCTTCATAAAATGTGATACAATGACACTTCAAAATGCGTCTTTCTCATCACCAACATCAATATTTTCTCACTGGAATTCAATTTCATTTAGTTGTCTTCCAGTTGCCAACAGTCATAATCACTGTTCTGATATTAACAGCATTTTAAAGCCTTGGAATTCTGGAACTGCTTGATTGTGAAAATTGGAGCTTCCTTTAGAAATGTAAATGTAAAGCCTCATTATTACAGAATAAATTTTGAAAATGTAAGTTCTAAAGGTTCAAAGGAGAGTAAAATACGGTTTTTATTAGTAGTGGGAAAGGAAAAAGAATTTGCTTTTACGATTGATTGGCTACATATCATTCATTTTAAAAAGCAGGATGGCTAGTGTTCATATAGATGTTTTCAGTTTTTACTGAAAAGTAGACTGTTCTAATTATTTATCTATTTATTTATTTGCCAAAATCACAGAGTACTAATTAAAATGCTGCAAAACTGTATGCTTCTTGTTAGTAAACATGTAGGTTTTTTGGGTTTGGTTGTTGGATTTTTTTGGTTTTTTGGGTTTTTTTTTTTTGACCTGGACATTCCAAAACTTGATCCTCTTGTGAAATTGAATTGTTAACACATTGGTTGCTGACTTCCATGGTATATTGCACACATACGCAATATTTATGACTTCTATTCTGTTTTTTATTTCTAAGGTTTGTCGAGTTGCCTATGAAATTATGCAGACATTGCATCCAGATGCTTCAGCATATTTCCATTCTTTGGATGATATCTACTACTTTGGGGGACAGAATGCCCACAACCAAATTGCTATTTATGCTCATCATCCACGAACTGCTGATGAAATTCCTATGGAACCTGGAGATATAATTGGAGTAGCTGGAAACCACTGGGATGGTTATTCAAAAGGCATCAATAGGAAATTAGGAAGAACAGGCCTGTATCCGTCCTATAAAGTTAAAGAGAAAATTGAGACAGTCAAGTATCCTACATACCCAGAGGCTGACAAGTAGATTAAAAGGAAGACATTCGTCAGTAATTCTCAATTTTGGTTGGTTTGAACCAGTCAACACACTAACTAATGGTTTATATGGGATTTGAATTTGCATTTTAACATGCAGTTAAAGCCTTTAGCAATGAAACTGGATAAGAAGCTGAGAACAAATGGATGGGCTATTATCTGAACTTACTCTTAAACATTTTTTGTTATATGCACTCTCACACATGCACACACAAAACCACGTACAGCAGGAAAACTGTTGTTTTATACTTCTTTTCTCTTTTCAGGATTTGTCCCAGTCATTAGTCTTATGTGAGCTTTGAGCTCTTTTCTCTGCCATTAATTGACAATAATGTTCAGACTTATAACACTGCCACATTGTGTAATTTGAGTGACATGAACATATTTTGTATGTGCAACATTTAAAACATGGTGCCTATATTTGAAAAAATTGTGACCTTTTTAGAAGAGCCATGCCTATTTCACAATGGGCAAGAGTCAATCTTCAACTGGTGTTCCCGTGACCACTGAACTTGCTTCAAACAACAGATTCAGATTTCAGACTAGATTTCTTTACAAGTTTATTTTTAGCATTCCATTGATTACTTCTCATCATTAATAAAATAAAGGATACATCCAACAATAAAATAGTCACTGTCTGTTAGGAACTTTTGTAAAACAATGCCATGAACAGGTTATTCAGTACTGATAATGTTTCTGGACATTGCCTTTGATTGGGGGGTGGGGGGGAAACAATGAAACACAAATCACAAAACCTACAAAGGAAGAAGTAGCTGGAGTTTTATTGGATTTTTAAACACTCATTATGTAGTACAACAACTGCTTAGTGGCACGGTATTTCTCAGTTCTGTGGACAGTGGCTTTCAGCA